GCTAGCCCTAGTTCCGTCTCCGCTTTAGCCTTCCCAACAGCCTACCTACAGCCTCTTGCTATGGAGATATAATCCTCTTTGGCGATAGCCCCCCGCTTCCATTGAATGTATGCCTCCTTTTTGGCTTTCATATGTTCCTGAATGCCTTTGGTCAGCCAAGGGGCCTTTGAGCACTCTTGCCCCCTTTGACTCATGTTGGGACTGTCACCCCTTGGGCTTAGAGGATCGTCTCCTTAAGGAACGACCACTTTTCTTGGACACCTAGTTGTCCTGTTCTCCAGGACCTCAATGCCTCTCCTACCAATCTCCTTAACTCATTTAAGTTGGCCCTCCTAAAGTTGAGGGCTACTGCCTTGCTGCAGGCCCTTAACACCTTGCACTGGATGGTGAATTCCAGTAAGCAACGGTCGCTATCACTTCTTATTAATCTCATTCATCTTACTCTTGCATTTTTGGAGTTAACCAAAAGGACAGTATTACCCCTCCCTGCTACATGAGGACCTTGGGGAGGGAAGCTTTGTTAGTGTTCAAAAGGACTCTGTTGTAGGGGAAATGGGAGAGGGGAGGAGGGAGGGAGATGGGACTGAGGTTTCAACAATAGCATACCATGCTCCAAAACCCCTTGCAAAGGGTTAACATGTAGGCAAGCCACTTTCAGATAAAAGAAGAGACCTATTAATTAAAAAGGTGAGAGTTGTTTTATCAGGATTCACAGTCCACAGATCCAGGTCATGACAGGTATCTGTACACTGCCAGAGAACTGGGAAGAGTGGTGATCCCGAGCACTTTTAGGCAGCAGTGATGAGGGATTTTATGGCTTTCTTGCAGTGAAACCTGCCTCAATTTGATAACTGAACCATAAAAAAAAGGAGTTGGCTTTGTTTCCTATTTTAAGGTCAACTCATAATTGCACTACCACCTGAATATCCTTTGCTTCAGCTGACTTTACACTGGCATGGATGCTTTGTGAAGCAGTGTTACAATAACAGTGTAACACCCTTAGCTAACCCCCAAGTCAACCACAGATATTATCTCTGAATGTCCTTTGTGATAGTAGGAGGGCATTTGTCACCTTCTGAGAATAAATGGCCATCACCCCCATCCTCCCAGCTTCCCAGATAATGTGTTAGGCAGCACTAGCCACTGGTTCAGTACAGGTTGCTGTTGCACCATGCTGCATGTGCAAGTGTCAGAGTTTGAGAGAAATTTTCAGTTACATTTAACTCAAGTCTGAGAACAAAGGCTTGAGGGATAATGTGAAGATTATAATAATCATGAGAGCACAGTCCTTCATCACAACCTTCTTTACCATCTTTATTTTCAGGGGCCAGGAAGGGGCACAAAGAAGGCCTTTTACTTGGCTTCTGAGATAAATGGATGACAACCCCTACTTCTGAGCATCTCTTCTTCATACAGTACCTGCTTTTGGTTTTCCAGCAAGAGGTAAATGCAAAAATGATTATCAAGAAGCTTCTGTCCTCTCTCTGCAAAACACCAAAACATCAATATCTGTGAACTGAATTATATGAGCCATTTTTCTGAAAGCCTCAAAATTTCTTCTCCTCCTTACGAGACGTGGAAGTCAGACTCACTCATGAGAGTTTCCAACCTGGTACTGTCCATTTAAGAGCTTCCTACAAGCATCCTTTGCCAGTCCCCAGAAAAGAGAAAAGGGCTTTTGGAGGGGAAAGAGTCCTCAACCAAGAAGACTGAAAGGACTGTGTATGCCATCACATATTCTGTGTATTTCACTAACTAAGACATGGCATGTTGTTGGGCCGCTGCAGGCTAAAGAGAAGAGGTAAATTCATTTCCAAGTGAAAAGGTCTTGAATCATTTCACCCCCTGCTTTCCACTGTGACTTGCTCAGCCACCTCAATATAGTGCTTTTCTCCTACACCAGCTCAGAGCAGAGTTCCTACCGCCAGCTGCTGCCATTACTGGGGAGGATAGGAAGAGACATGCTGTCTTTCAACCCCTCCTCAGAAAGACAATGTTTTTTGAGCTTAGCAAGGCTGAGAAAAAGATGACACAAAGAAACAGTTGTTAAAAAGAAAGACCCTTTGCTATAAAAGACAGACTTGCAATTTGCCACTTGGAGGGAAAACATTTTGCAGAGTTCTTCTCTAAGGCTGCTACTAAGCCCAGACTCAGAGCAAGGATGTGATCTGCCTCTAGATACTGTGAAGCCTGGAACACTTTGCTGTAAAGACTGTCCAATATGGAGTGGACTGCAAATTAAATTATAATATTGAGTTCCTTTAGCTTCAGATAAACAAGGGAAGCAGGTGACAGGTCAGCACTAAGTCTTTATCTGTTTTATGTAGTATGATCCTGTGAATACAGATTAATTTTATGAACCTTCTTTGAAAATTGAGTTGCTCATACAAAATAATGTGATGCCTGTCTGATTTCCCTTTCTTCTGTACATGCCCCTGTGTCCTCTATTGAAAAGTTGCTTTGTTATTTCCTACCTACAGCAATTTTCCTCAGCAAGTCCCAACAACTCCTACTGCCCACAACCCAGTATGTTACAGAAATTAAAGGTAAAGAATATTTTCACCTTGTGTGTGGCTGGAACTCTCCAAAGGCAACCACCCTGTTCCATTAAACCCCTAATTGCCTTCATTCTAAAACCAATTAGCCCCACACTTGAACTGCAAACTGAAAAAAGGGGAAAGGGTAAAACAGTGCTCTTAGACATTGAGACAGATGCCATGTGTATTTAAAGCTATCGTTAGAATGAATGTCTAGGGCATGTGGTTTAGGTGAGAAAGTTGCAATGATTTATATTGCTCTTAAGATTATTAAACAGAAAGCCAAGACTGACAATTTGTGCACCACAAGACAACAGATAACTGACAAATGGCTCATGTTCTGGTTGCTTCATTTTGTTTTTCTAGATCTTTTTATGCATGCATGTCCTGATTCAGTAAAGCAGTTGAGCATATACTTACTTGCATTGCTGAATTGGGGCCATATTATCTTATGAAGCAGGAGCTGTACATTGTTAGTTACTTATGTTGCATTACAGACACCCATGACTAAAAGTTTTCACGTGGATATAATGGGAAAGACTAGCTAATAGGATTTGAGAATGAAAATGCATCTCTTCAGGTAGTGTTTCCCACGTGCTTAGAGGTTACTGGACAGAGGAGATTTGAAGAGAAGTGTCTCTACTAACATTGTGTATTTATATATATATTATTCACACAATATTTTTACCTGTGTGAATCTAGAAAAAAGTCCTTTTCCAGAAATGCAGGAAAAACTTGGATTTTTTTTCTCTGACCAGTATTGGAAGATGATTTTTACACCATCTATACCTGGTGACCAGTGCTACTTTGTTTAATTTTCAGTTAGTAAAGGAAATGTAACCACACACACAATATTCAGAAGGAAGAAAGGAAAAAAGGGGCAGCAGTGGGCACCCATCTAGAGTAAGAGTCCCATTATATAACTGAATCATCATCAAGGGCAAACTGCTGTGAAATAAAACTTGAAATTGGGGCAGCTGAGATTGGGCTGGCTGAGAAAAAGAGAGGCTGAGATAGAGGCATGGAATATCTAGGTTATTGATGCTATAAGCGGGTCATCTTATTCATAGTCATCTGAGCGGATAGATGATAACAAAAATCAAAACTGGCATCAGTGAAAAGGTATGCATACCCAGATTGGCACAGAACTTACTGCCAAAACATGCAAAGGATCAGCCATCTAACTGTGTCACCAAGTTAGTGTCCTCTGCTCATGGTTTTGCTGTATTCAGGTACAAACCATATTTAGCATCAACCAAGGCATGAGCTGGCTACATACCAGTTTAAAAGTTGTTGTGTAAATGAACAAGGGGTTGAGATTGAAAAGAGATAACTGAGCCTAACATCAAAGAGAAGAGAGACCATGGTGTGGCCTGTAGGTTAAACAGATGTCAGAGGAGCAAATGTTGAACCCCCCCCCCCCAAAAAAAATTCCTGCATCAGAGACATTCAATCTGCAAAGGAAAGTCAATCTGCAGAGGAAAGACAGCTGGCAGAAAGTGGCTTTGAGACATATCGGAAGGAGAATTTGCAGTCTCTGCAGGTAGGAGACAACCTTCATCATGGTCTGATCCAAAGAGCATATACCTTTGATTTCTATGGGCTTTGGATCAGGCCCCTTATCAGCAAGTTGCAAGAAACTCAGATCTAGTTTTCAGGTCTAAGTGGCATAGCCTCCAAAGGCAGCTCTCCTTCGTTTTTCACAGCATAATGAAAGGTAAATGCTTTTAAAAAAAGAGCGATGAAATGATCCACGCTCTCAAGAAAAGGAAAGCAAGTTTTGAATACAGAATTTCTTGCTGCTAAAAGAAGCATAGGTTATAGGAGAATCGCATTAAGAGAAAAATATTTTTGCTACAGTTCTGCTGTGTTGTCATGGATATGTTGCCCTAAATGTTAAATATCACATCAAAAAAGGATATGAATTTAAGCTGACTAACAAAAGTTAGGCATGTTCAGGTTGCAAATTTCTGTAGCTGTCAGCAAACCCCATTCCTGATCTATAACATACCCTACTTTCACAAGCCTGTGGCAGTGGATTGTTGCCCCAGCACTTCAGTTCTGATGTACAGTACAGTATCTATAGTATTGTATCATGCTACAGCATCTGTGTTTAAGACCCGACTTTAATTTCACCTACACTAGTGTATATTAGGAGTTACTCCACTCAAGTCAGAGTGTAAAACGACTTTAAATGAATTGGAATTCAGCCCACAGAATTGTGTCTGATGAGAGGGACAGCTGGAGGTCAAATTTCTTTTCAGAAAGAACAGTTCTCAAAACACAGCATGGAGAACAGCATGATAAGAAATACCGTGTTCTACCTCTGCCAGTTTGGAACAGTGTATCCCATTACTTAAGTGCACCAACCACAAAACCAGCTGTGGGCACCTGTGTCAAAAACAGTCACAAGCTGACCCCAATCTCCCGCTTTGCATGGTTACTTCAGGGACTCACTCCTACCTTGTAGCTGGTTGAAAGTGATGATAAACTTGCCAGTCAGAGACTTCAGTTCATTATTGGCCAGAGTTATGAGATGTATCCCTTCAGTGACGTTCCTCATGACTTTGTAAATGCCGATTGGAAAGGTCATCAACTTGCAGTCAGCCAAATCTGCAGCAAAACAGCAAGTCAAAAAAGGGCATGTGAACTTTGCAGAGGAAAGTATCTTTGCACAGAATGCACCCAGTTACTACCAGAATATTTACATTTTGTTCTGTCCATGGGGATTAGAGGAGAGTGAAGGAGAAAAGCAGCAACTATAACGAACCACCCAGGTTATAACTTATAATATATTTACAGAGAGACAAATATTCCTTCCAGGAACATGAGTGCAGAGAAAACTCTCTAGGGTTAGACAATAACCCGAATGGTTAGCTAGAGATACAGCATATGAAAGAATCAGTTCTCACTTCGTAGATATAAGTTTTCCTTGCTTCTAATTTTTCACTACAAAAACAGCAATACATCAACCTAGGAACATTTTTTCAATCCTGCTGCTATGACTCATGCCCTTTTACAGTGGCGTAATAGCGGGGCCCTTAAAAACTCCACAGTTACTTGCCATGCTTCCCAGGAGGGTGGGCACAGAGCCAGCCTCGTAAAGTACTTTGTGGCTACTGCACAAGGGTGCAAATGGACGGACAGCAAGGAACCAGGATTCAGGCCCAGGGTGGAGAAGGACAGTAGGTTCTTGGGAGACATAGGGGGTATACACAAGCTATGATAGAGCTATCTGGTTTGTACAACCAAATACTGATCTTTTGCTGAAAGAGCTTGGTGGTCTACAATGAAGCATTTGCCACTTTACCTTAAGGCAGACAAAACAGAAAAGGGGCTAGTGCTGAGAGATTGTAGCAAGGGAAACAGTCCCTTAACATGACTACTATTGTAAGGGCAAGACTCACTGCCCTCAGAGACCAGGTGGATACACTGCACCTTGTTCTATCAGAAGAATGGCTGTACCACATGGAAAAAGGGTATACTGCCCCTGAGCAGGGCACATGGTTCTGCAGCTAGGTGTCTCTAGGAAACCTGGTTGTAGAGGCTGTAATGGGTATGCACCAAGTCAGAGCATCCTCAGTCAGCTTGTCCACACTCCTCTTATCAAACTTTAGAGTTGCACTGACTGCCTCTTAGGTCCACTGGAGAAGGCAATACTGCTAACCCAGTGTACAGCTGCAACCTCTCACTGGTCTCTATTGGCAGAAGTCTAAAGCAGAAGCGATCATTTTAATTTCTATTGACACACAGTGGTCTTTGCAGTCAGTCTGATGTCATTATTTTGGACAGATCCTCAGTGGAACTTGTTCCTCCTTTCACCCTCAAGGAATAATTTCTTCTGAGCCTTCCATTAAAAA